TACTTAATAATGCAAGATGAATCCATCACACTTTTCTGTTTGTGATCTTCAAGGGAGTATCTGCCTAGTTCCTAATTAGTGAAGCAAAGTGGAAACAGAGCACAAAAGTTAAGATTGTCATTCAATGTCATGAAACGTGTAGAAGTAAGAAAGGAAGTAAATATAATGATGACTAACTCCAAAAAGTCAAAGAATGTATCAAGAAAAAAGTGTGATAAGAAGGTGTGAAAAGAAGACAAACCGTTATAAAAGTTACTTAAAGAGAAACATTATTTTTCTCAATACCAAGAATCAAATACTAACAGAGATATGAATAGAGCAATTGTTTCATTGTTATCTTCATTGTTAGGTTTTGAGCTACAAGAAAATCTTTCCTGTGTTAGAAATGAACTTGTAATCTAGTAGAATACCCCACTGACCTCAAGACAAAAAAGTACTGCTTAAGCTTGTATAATTGTAACATTTTATGAGCACAGTTATTTGACCATGAATTTCCATGTGGGGAGTATGGTTTACTCTCAGCTAGTATGTAATATTATTAGAAGAGCAATACTGAGTTTGGTGATTCTCAATGGAAGTTAGTATGCTGTTTTTGCTCCTCTGCATTTATGAAAACATTCCAGAAAATATTTCCTCCATATACTTCTATCCCAGTCCTACCTCTTTTGTCTTGTTAAGGTCTCTGTCAGAAGAGAGCCAAGATTTTTTTTTTTTTTTTTTGAGTAGTTTCCTCTAAACTTGACATCAACAAATATTTACTGGGATATCTACAATGTAGAAAGTCCTGGATTTTTGGTGCTATTAGTGAAATAATAAAAAAAAAAAGAAGTTGAGTGTACAATTGTACTTTTAGTGGGAAACTTAACTTTTATGCACATGAACTCATGATTAATAATAAAAATAGTCCATCTTAGGTGCTGAGTGAGTGCAATATGCCAATAGGTTGGGTACAGAGTCATAGCAAACATCCTTGGGAAGATACACAGGAAAACTGGTAACTGGTTGCCGGAAGGGAAGGAACTAGGAATATGAAATAGGTACGAGATTTACACTTTTCACTGTATCCCTTTTTGTATGGTTTTAATTATTTACTTGTGCTCATATCACTTTTTAAATTGATATTGAAAAATTTAAATATTTTTTCTGATGGTAGTGCAAAGCTGATTGTGAAGACCACTGAATTCCAAACTGAGGAGTTACAGTTTTTCTCTGCAAGCTCTGGGGACACAAGGATGATATTGATGTGTTTAATATTAGAAAAAATAATTGTGCTGCAATTCTGGAAATACTGGAGCAATGAAAAATTAAATGAAAATGCATAATGTATCAGGCATTTTATGGTATAATTTCATTTACTTTTCAGATTACTGATACGGTGCACTTAAAAGTTTTTGGAAACAGTTTTATTGAGATATAATTCACTCACTGTACAAACCACCCCTTTACAGTGGACAGTTTCAATGGTTTTCCATACAGTCACAGATATGTACAACTATCACTACGGCCAACTTTAAAACATTTCATTGTCACGGGGTGCCTGGCTGGTTTGGTCGATAGAGCATGCAACTCTTGCTCTTCGAGTCATGGGTTCAAACCCCACACTGGGGATAGAGATTACTGAAAAGAATAAAACAACAACAACAAAAAATACATTGCATCGCCTCAAAAAGAAACCATATCCCCTTTTATTACCACCTTTCTTTCTCCCACAACCCCTACCCCAAGCAACCACTGAACTGGAAACAACTGTCTTACAAATTCCCCTTTTCTGAAACTCTATATGAATGGAATCATGTAGTATGCAGACTTCTACAACTGGCTTATTTTACTTCTCATAATGTTTTCAAGGTTCATTGGTGTTCAGCATGTATCAATCCATTTTTCCCTTTTATGGCCAAATAATACTCTGTTGTACACATATACTGCATTTTGTTCTGTTTATTTGTCAGTTGACGGATAGTTGTGTCAGTCCCACTTTTTGGCTTTATGAGTAATGCTGTTATAGTAATTCATGCACAAGTTTTTATGGAGATGTATTTTAATTTCTCTTGGATATATACCTAGCAGTAGAAATGTTGGGCCATATGGTAATTCTATGTTAAATTGTTTGAGGAACTGTCAAATTGTTTTCTAAAACAGCTGTACCATTTTACATTCCCATCCGGAAGTGTTTAAAGGTTTTGATTTCTCTACATGTTTACCATCACCTGTTAGTGTTTGTCTTTTTGATTCTAAATCATGCTTGTGGGTATGATATAGTATCTCATTGTAGTTTTGATTTGAAGTTCCTTGATGACCAAAGATTTTGAGCATCTTTTCATGTGTTTGTTGGTCATTTGTATATCTTCCTTGGAGAAATGTCTATTCAAGTCCTTTGCCCATTTTGAAAACTGGATTGTTGTCTCTTTTTGTTGAGTTGTGAGTTCTTTACATATTATGGATAGGAGTCCCTATAGTATATGAAATGCAAATGTTTTCTCCCATTCTGTGGGCTATCACTCTCTTCATGCCGTCCTTTAAAACATAAAGTTTTTAGTTTGAAGACCCCCAAAGTATCTATTTGCCAAATCTGAGGTCATGAAGATATATCATTGTTTCTTTTTTTTTTTTTTTTAAGATTTTATTTATTTGACAGAAAGAGACACAGCAAGAGAGGGAACACAAGAAGGGGGAGTGGGAGAGGGAGAAGCAGGCTTCCCACTGAGCAGGGAGCCTGATATGGGGCTCAATACGGGGCTGGATGCGGGGCTCCATCCCAGGACCCTGGGGTCATGACCTGAGCGAAGGCAGATGCTCAACGACTGAGCCACCCCCACACCCCACCTTCTGTTTTATTCTTAAGAGTTTTATACCTTAGGCACCTTGGATCCATTTTGAGTTGATTTTTGTTTATGGTATGAGATAAGCATCCAGTTTCTTCTTTTTCTGCTTTGCATGTGATTACCACTCCTACCAACATAATTTTGTTGAGAAGACTGAATATTTCTTCATTAAATGGTCTAAGCACGTGTTGAAAATCAGTTGGCCACAGACACATGACTTTATTTCGGGACTTTTAATTCTATTTCCTTGGTCTGTGTGTCTATCCTTGAGCCAGCGCCATACTGTCTTGATTACTGTTGCTTTGTTGTAAGTTTTGAAATTAGGAAGTCTGAGTTCTCCTACTTTATTCTTCTTTTTAACGATTGTTTTGGCTTTTCTGTGTCCTTTGTATTTCCACAGGTATTATAAAATCAGTTTGTCAATTTCTATGAAAAAATCAGCTGGGATTCTGACAGGGATTTTGTTGAATCTGTAGATCAGTTTAGGGAGTATTGATATTTTTATGTATTTATATCTTCCTTAATTTCAATCATGCTTTATAGTTTTCAGAGTATAAGTTCAGCACTTCTTTTGTTAAATTTATTACCGAGCATTTTATTCTTTTTGATGTTATTGTAAATGGAACTGCTTTCTTAATTTAATTTTTGGATTGTTCATTGCAACTATATAGTAACACAATTGATTTCTGCATATTGATCTTATATCCCGTAACCTTGCTGAATTTATTTATCATTCTAATAATTTAGTGCGTACTCATGGCATAAAAGAACAAAGCCAAGAAGTATTTAACTGCTTAAAGATGTTTGAATGGGAAGAAGGAGTCATGGCCACCACAGTTTTGCAAAATCTGTCTTTCTGGTTTGTGTCTTTCTCCCATCTGTCCAGAGGAGGTGTCTAAATCGCCAGTTCCCTAATATAAAACCAAACACTTAAGGGTTAACTCAGCTTACAGCAGTTACTTGACTCCACTGTATCTAGATTAAGGACACTTTGTTGCGACGTCAAAATATGAAAGAAAAAAGGAAGGAAAAAGAAATCCTAAATATAAACCCCAATTTCAAACATTACTATATCCTTTGCTTCTCTGTTAGAAATGGGAGAAAACCCTGAAGCAAGTTATGCTTTCCACCCAGGACTTCTTTCCAGAGAGAAAAATGCTGGCTAATTTTAGTTAGCTTACTAGTTGTTACTTGTTTCGTAATATTGGATTGGCCATTATTCCTTAGTAGGAAGATTGAGAATGAAAAATTAGATCATCTCTAAGGTTACTTGTACATGATTTTCTCAACACCATTTCTATTCTCCCAGTTTCTTTACGTGCAAATACCTGCCAATAGGATATATAGGTAATCTGACTCTATCCCAGTTATTTACTTTTAGTTTTAAATTGTTTTTTCTTCCATGATTCTCATTTTTTTCTTCATATTGCCATATTGTGGCTTGCCAAAATGATTTTTGCTTCAGTGTCTTATTTTTGTATTTGGTTATAATTTCTTGGTGATCGTGTTAATCTGTCCTCCTTACTTCCCTAATTAAGGCTTAGAAATCAACTCTGATCCTTTAAAAATATTCTTTATCAAATTTACAAACATATATAATTCCACTTGTAGTTAAATCCTATTTTTTCTGGACAGACAAGTCTGACTGTAAAAAGACCATTTTTCTTCTGGATTCTTAAAAGCTTTACTAAACTGGTGATATTCAAAAGAATTAAGTACTGAACAGAATCCCAAAGTACCACCCCTGTTCTCAGTTTTTTTTAATGAGAGAAGGTCTGGGGCACCTGGGTGGCTCAGTGGTTAAGTATCTGCCTTCAGTTCAGATCATGATCCCAGGGTCTTGGCTCCCTGCTCGGGTGAAGCCTGCATATCCCTCTCCCAACCCCCCTGCTTGTATTCCCTCTCTCTGTCAAATAAATAAATAGAATCCTAAAAAAAAAAAAAAAAAATGGGAGAAGGTCTGAGCGTGGACTGAGCCATCAGAAACTGTAGAAAGCAAGTATTTAAAACAGAATTCTGAAACAAAACAAAACAAAACAAAACAAAAACAACCCACAAACTGTCTTCTAAAAATGGGCAAAATTAACCTAGAAAAAGCCCGTTACAGGAGAAATGGCAGGTGTCATCATGTCCTCCCTCCTCCAATATTCAGGAAATGGAAACTAGAGAGTGATGCACGCCTGCTATCAAGGTGCTTTTTTGTTTGTTTCACTGTTGAACTTTAATGCAAAAAAAAAAAGCTCATCTCGAGTTTTCCACAATGCATGACAATGCAGTGAGTGACACTGTTATTTGGGTTTCTTTATTCAGTAAACAGATAAAGAAAACAACTAATTAATCAAGGTAAATCTCCAGAAAGGTGAAGTATTAGAAAGTAAGAAGACATATTAGGAAAGTATGAATACATGACTGGTATTCCCTCAGTCTTCTAACTCAAAGCTTTTGGAAGAAAGTGAGTTTTCTGTTTTTTAGAAAAGGAAATAGGCAGGTGGGCCAGATCCTATTCCTTTTTATTTTTCTGTTCCTTGACTTAAGCAGAATTGGAGACTGCCTGATCTTCCTGGCTGCTTCGTCAGCGCAGTCAGCAGCAGACTTAATGGCCTCGGGGTGGGGGCGTGGGGGGCTGGGGGGTACAAGCACATGGCAACCCCCTCCACGCATCAGCTAATTCCATGCTCCAGCTATAGCCTTGGGAACAGGAGAAGTCCCAAACAGATGCTTCTTCTAAAGGTAAGAGAGAAAGTAAAAACTGAACCTGCTAAAAAAGGGATAAAAATAAAAAGTGCATCTGTGTATTTGAAGCCAGCATTAGGAAGGCAATGCTGAAAACTTCATTAGCAAATTTAAAGACTTCAGGGCAGGCTCCTGATCATTTTATTTTTCGGTGACTTTATGCAAATGTATCCTCTAGTTGTTTTTCTTTTTTAGCTTTATTGTTCCTCCCCTCCGTAACTGCCGCCAACTCAAGCCGATGTATGTATGTATGCATAGTCAACCAGTGTGAATAAGACAAGTTGACATTGTCAAATAAATAAATAATCTTTAAAAAAAAAAAAAGACGAGTTGACACTATTCAATTTTCAGTTAAGCGTTCAGCCCAACTTTAGGACCACCTCCTGTGGGTCAGGCTAGGGAAATTCTGGGAGGAGTCTGTTCTAGAAAAAGTTCAGACATCAGAGTTGGCATCTTTGGACAGGAACCACCGCTTCACATCTGCTCTTCCTGCATCCTTAGAAAGTTTTGTTTTTTTTTTTTTTTAAACAGATAAAAAGAAACTGCCATAAATATTCACTGCCAGATAAGCACTGAGAAGGCCTTTGATGTGAGAGCTTCCCCTCTGGCCTCCACTGAGAATGAAGGACCAGGCTGTACGGTCTCCCAATTCCTGCTTCCAGAAAGAGGGAAATCTGTGTGGGGAACTGAAGAGTACTATCACTCAGTGTATTAATTCCTTCAGGCTGCCATTACAACATACCACAGACTGGGTGGCTTAAATAGCAGAAATTTATTTTCTCACTGTTCCACAGGCTGGAGGTCCCAGATCATGGTGCCGGCAGGGGCAGCTTCTGGTGAGGTCTCCCTTTGCAGTCCGCAGACAGTTGTCTTCTCACTGTGACCTCACCTGGCTTTTTTTTTTTTTTTTGGTCTGTGTGCCTGACTTCCAGGTATCTCTTTTTCTTCTTAAAAGGATCTCAATCCTCTTGGATGAGAGAGCCCAACACATAGGACCACATTTAAATTTAATTTTCTCCTTAAAGACACCATCCCGAAATACAGAGCACATGCAGGGTTAGCGCTCCAATCTGTGAATGTTATGGGAACACAGTTCAGTCTACAAGGTTCAGGAAAGCCCTTTGGTCTATTCTAACAGGTGCATGATGAACCGTAACTTGGCAATCACTGCTTACCCGTAGCTTCCCCCCACCAACCTCCCCCATGCACGTAGACATCCCTGCAGACCACAGACACACAGATAGCCTTGGCTTAGTATGTAGTCTCTACTTCTCAGTTTTATACAAGATTTTCAGACATTCATAATGCATGGCTAGTGACTGACAATTTTATGTTTCTAGGACAGTATTTTCCTTTCTTGTACCAATAATAACAATAACAACAATATTTATTGCGTACCAAGGATTGTGCTTATTTCATTTCCTTAACTTCCCCCATCTACAGACCAGGAGATAAGTTTTGAGAGGTAGTGACTTGCCTAAGGCCTCAGACCTAGTAAATTCCACGCTGTCTGACTCCAAATCCAGAGCTCTGACCCTCCATCCAGTGGAAATTTAACACACTGACAAGATTCTGAGAGTCGTGACCAATCTCCTCTACCTTTATCTCGCCACTGGATTTTCAGTCTATTTAATCTCAGAGCTACATTTTCAGCCTGTCCCAGAGTAGGGTCTCATGTCTCTACATCACTAAAATATTTTATGGAAATATTTATTTCCAGTTGCTTACCGCTGCTCATTTGTGAGCCTTCCCCTCCCTGTCTGCCACTACATTGCCCCTGAAGGACTAGGAAGGTGAATAAAACACAGTTCCCGGGAGAAACTCAACACATAATCGAGAGATAGATGAAGCCAATTATTCAAAATACATCATGATGAACAGGCTACTTTATAGAGTCAGTTCAAACTGGTGTGGGAGCATAGAAAAAAACCAGAAATGCCCAGAGAGACCACAAAATAGCTTATTACAGGGTGGCTTTGAGTCATAAGTGGAAGGTAAATAAAAGTTTGCCAGGCAGGGCAGAAGGGCTTTCAGGATGGGGCACAGCATGTTTTTATGTTGTGGTATTTATGTTGAGCTCTGGTTTTTGTTCTGTGACATTTTTAAAAAGGAATAAGGCCTCTTAGCCCCAGCCCTGCTCTATCCTTGCCTCCCCCTCCCCTCCCAGCCAGTCCCAGTGTTTCCTGTCCTGCAGAGATGCCCTCCAGGTGAAAAGAAGGTGTCAGGTGCTTGATAACTCAACAGCCTGGCCAACTCAGAATTACATAAATTGGGAATGCAGTGCTAACCGTCCACGGAGTGTTTCCACTTTATTTGAAACACATACAGACCGGTAAACATCCGAAATTGAAGCATTAGAGTTATATTATGGAATCAACAATGGGATTTGAAGTCAAATCAGAAGGCCTCCTGCCGTGGCCACTCATGGGGGTGGGGAGGTGGGGGGGGTGGGGGGGTGGGGATGAGGAACAAAATATTGGCCCACCCAGCATGAAAGGCCTCTCTTTAGGTTACTCCCTACTCCTCACATCCCATCAGTCTCAGCTTTATCAGGACCCGGCTTATATTCCAAATGAGGAATTTTAGTTCAAACACCGAATTCTGCATCACTTGTAGCAGAGCAAATAACCCCACTTTCCAGGTCATGGATGTCCTATTTCCTGAGAGCCCAGCACAAGCCCCTTAACCACTCTTAACCTGGGTCAATAGATCTCTCTCTCTCTCTCCATCTATTTTTGTCAATCCTTTCTCTAGTCTTGAAGTACAAGGTATCAATCTTCTGATAATGACATCTTTTCTACCCGTGCTCTGGTCCTCTCCCCGCTCCTGCTCTCACAGAACTTTCCTGCCACTCTCTGCAATTTGCTGGCTTCCCGCTGAGAAAGCAGAGCCAGGAAGCAAGCAGCAAGGGGATCAGCTAACTGGGTCTCCCATTCTCCTCATTCCCCTCCCCCGCCCCCGTAAACATGTGTCTATGGCCATTCGGTGGCCACATCCTCTGCAAGGGTCCCGGACCTGCGAGGAGGTAAGGCAACTTAAGGGGAGCCAAAAGGCTGAGGTAAAGGTCTGGGCCAAGCGAACAGTAGAAAATGAGAACTGGTGGTGGGGCGCCTGGGTGGCTCAGTGGGTTAAGCCAAATCTGCCTTTGGCTCAGGTCATGATCCTAGGGTCCTGGGATCGGGCCCCACATCGGGCTCTCTGCTCAGCGGGAAGCCTGCTTTCCCCGCTCTCTCTCTGCCTGCCTCTCTGCCTGCTTGTGAGCTCTGTCTGTCAAATAAATGAATAAAATCTTTAAAGAAAAAAAAAAAGAAAGAAAATGAGAACTGGGGATAGTTCCATGGGAATTAATATGGAAAACTGATGGAAGGAAAAAGAGCTAATGAAAAAAAAATCAATTTAAAAGGCAAATACCACAGGTCAATGTAATGCCTGCTGAGAAACAAACTTGTGGTTTTAGCTCAGTGATGATCTAAGTAGAAAATATATAGGTTAACAGTCGGACAGGCATCCTAAGAGGCAAAGAAAGACACGGGGATAAGACCAGCTGACTGCGGAGCTGCAGGGGAGAAGCTGCAAAGCAGGGCAGAGCTGACGTCTCCTGCGAGGATGGAGCCAGGAGCCTCGAGCTGTGCTTCCCACACCCGGTTGATCAGCAGAGTCATCAGAGGAGCGTTTAAAAACCATGTTAAGGTGTCATTTCCTGGACCTCTGGAATCTGAATCTCTAGATGGGAGGCCCAGAAATACAGGTGTGTGTGTATATTATAAATTTGCTTGTCCCCTCCATCATGGAGATGCTTTATGAGCGACTCAGACGGCTGGTAATCTGGGGACTCACACTCTCACGCAATCTTTTCTTTTTTCTTTAAGATTTTATTTAATTAATTTATTTGACAGGTCACAAGTAGGCAGAGAGGCAGGCAGAGAAAGAGAGGGGGAAGCAGGCTCCCTGTTGAGCAGAGAGCCCTATGTGGGGCTCGATCCCAGGATCCTGGGATCATGACCTGAGCAGAAGATAGAGGCTTAACCCACTGAGCCACTCAAGCGCCCCTCATGCAATCTTTTCAATAAACCAAGTAGTAGGTAGGCTAAGGACGATAGGCTTGCTTCTTGGTAATGAGAGACCCGGGTAGGAGGTCCCCCCCCTCCAGAATTCTGGAGGTGTGACTCGAACTTTCTGCCTACCGTGTGGGGCGGTGAATGGAATAATGGAAGCGAGAAGGCTCCCGGAAGCTCTCAGCCACAATGAGCGCAGTCACTCTACTCACTGGTCCGCCTTGCTGCTGTCGGGCTCCGTCTAGAGACTAGTTACAGCCGATCAGGTTTTGTTTTTTGTTTTTTTTTAAACAGAATGTTCCATTAGGTTGACCATCCTTCACAGATAAATCCTGGGACATGTAGTGCTTATGAGAAGCCATAGGGTTTATTTTCATGGGGAGCTGTTGGTGGAGACGCACCTTCGTACTAAGGGGAAGCACGCTATAAGAGGGGAGAGTCTGTGTCAGGAACTCAGCCTCCTGAGCGCGATTCCCGGCTCCCCTCCTTGCTGCTGGGTGACCTTAGGCACAGTCCTTAAACTCCATTTGCCTGAGATTGCTTAGATGTAAAAGAGGGTTATGCTACTATCTACTTCATGAATTGGTATGAGGATTAAATGAGAAAATGCATGTAAAGAGTGTAGAACAGTGCCCAGGGACAAGTTACGTGCTCAATAAGGAAATGCGTATTTCTTGAAGAATTCGCTAATACATTTCTTAATGCACAGTGGCAACTGAAGGGCCAGGGTGATTACATAGCCTAAGATCACATATTTGGTAAGTGGTAGACTTAAGCACTTTAAGCCTGAGCTCTAACCTCCGCCACAGGACGTCAGAGGTGGTCAAATCATGGTGGCCCGATTGCCCTAAAGAAGCAAAGACGACGCCTGGACAGAACTGAAAAAGATGAATCACAAAACGTAGTGCAGTGGCTTCTACTTTCTGGAACAATTCAGAAATCCACGGAAATGAAAATGCAAGACAATGCTACAGTTAAAATAGAAACTACTGAGAGTTTCTGGTTCTTGGAAGAATATATGCTGTGACCTAGAACTTGGAAACCCTTTCAAATATGGAAAGGACAAACAGTGGAAGAACAGATAAAGAATCCATCTGAAATTCCAGGGGAACAAATGATTTTATAAGAATGGAAAAAGAGGGGTGGCTGGGTGGCTGAGGGTTAAATATCCTACTCTTGATTTCGGCTCAGGTCACCGTCTCAGGGTCATGAGATGGAGTCCCTCCAGGACTCTGTGCTCAGTTGGGAGTCTATCTAAGTTTCCCTCCTTGTCCCTCTGCCTCCCCCCACCTCACCCCCTACCACCAATGAGACAAGGGCATGCACTCTCTCTCTTAAAAAAAAAATGGGAAAAGAATCATAGTATACTACTTTGCTTTGTAGTAAGCTATAATATATATTTGTAGTAATATAATCATGGTTTACTGATTTCACCTAAAGAGCGATACCACTGTGCTAGGGCAGATGGGGAGAGGGAGATGGACTTGGTGTATATGAACTATGTCCTCACTCACAGCACAAACTCATATAATGGAAAAAATAAGATATTAATGTAAGCATATTATATAGAGTAGGAAGATAATGACAAGAAGAAAGATATTAAGAGTCAAAAACGTTTGTCTCTTGGGAAAGAAGTTAGAGGATTAGCATGTTGGAGCAAAGGGTTTGGTTTTCATTAAAAACCTCTGAGTTGTATTTTATTTTTTCCCTAAATCACATTATTGTATTTTTAAAATATTCAGCAAAATATAGTACCCATTAAAAATAGTGTTTCTGGTTTTCCAAGGTTCCAGAACAACTGGCTTGCTTCACTGATGGGAAGATTCAGGTTTGCCCCACCCTTTTTGTAAGATTATATTGGATTATTTATTATTTTACAATATGTCGTTGGTTTAATCTAGAGAAATAGGACAGAATTATGTGGTTGGGAGAGAGGAAGGATGGGTTCAAAGGAGCAGATGGATGGAGAAACCTTAGGAGGAGAGCATGGGGGAGTGAGGGTTGGCAAATCCCATATTCCCCAGAACTCCAACCATCAAGAAAACGTGCTAGTAATGGCTAACAACGGTAGCCTTTACTATGTACCAGGAACTGTTCCAAGCTCTTTATATAAAATCTTGCATCTAACAACTCTGTGAGGTCTTGTATAGTAAGTATCTCTGTTTCACAAACGGCAAAGCCAAGCTGGAGGGAGACGAGGTGATTTTCTCAAGATTACATGGCTAGCAAGTGGCAGAGTCAAAATCGGAACCCACACCCTCTGGCTCCAAGTCTGAGCTCTTAGGCTCTATACCAGGG